ATTACACATTATCAGCTAGATACCAAGATCCAGAACCTAAAACAAGTTACTAAGGCTTTGAAAGTATGCAAATAGTTTTGGATTCATATTAATGTATTATAGCTGGAGATGCCTTTAACCAGTGGCCTCTGTCTGACAGATGATGTGGTCTTGTGGTAAATTCAGGTAGAATCATATCTAGTAACTAAAGAACACAAATTGTTTATATAGACTCCTGTGCTGTCACACAAGATTATTAGTGTGGTTTTTGATTGAGGAATATTCTTGCTCACGAGTATTTTATTTAATCAAATGGTATATAATTTTTTTATTGTTCTTACTTAGGGTCTTGACCTGGGGAAGGTGCCACCAACAATTCCTGGTGTAAGCAAGCAGTTGCCTCAAAACTATGGGACCTATCCAAGTCCAGTTCCCTTAGGAACAGGTTCTACAAATTCTCTAGAAAGAAGGAAGGATGGCAGTCTGCCCAGACCTGGCACCAGTATAACAAATCGGCAAAGACCTGTTCCGCTTCCACCGCCAAGCAACGTACATCAGCCCAGTTCTTCACAACAGATTCAACAGAGAATTTCTGTACCTCCCAGCCCTACGTATCAACCTTCCGGTCCTCCCTTGTTTCCCGGAGGAGATGGCAGGCCAGAACTGCCTTTAACTGTGGCAATCAGACCTTTTCTAGCTGATAAAGGATCAAGACCTCAGTCTCCCAGAAAAGGGCCACAGACGGTGAACTCCAGTTCCATCTACTCAATGTATCTTCAGCAAGCAACACCACCAAAGAATTATCAACAAGCTGTATACAATACCTTAAATAAGTCAGTAAAAGCAGGTAGAATATATTTTGCTTTATTTTTTTTTTCTTTTGGAATAAACTGTTAAGATCTACTTATTGGGCTTAGTTTACTATCCATGTCAGTTTGAAAAACTTGTCTAAATCTGTGAGAAGAGGAAAGATATGTATGCAGCATGGCAGAAAAATGATCCTACGTATTTTCGGGATGATAAATAAGTATACATTCAATTACCTTTTATTTAAAACAAGATGCAATTAGAACAATACAGTCTGGATACTGTACCAATACTTTCAGAAATAAGTTGAAAAACCAGGGTCGAGAGAGGAGAGTTTTTCTCCTCTTACTGTTTCCTCATGAAAGAGGAAAACCTTCTAGGTGTTACTTGTAGCTTATAATTGTAAGAAGCATCACAGTCACCAACAGGTGTTTATCTCTGTTTTGAGAGGTTCCAAAAGAATTAATTTGACTTTCTTTTTTCTTTCTGTGTTAGTGTCAAACAATTAGCAACAGCGACATATGCAGTTTATTTGCAAATATTTTATTACATAATTTGAGAACAGTTCTTCACTGTTTTCCATCTTTCTTTTCTTTAGTTTATGGAAAACCCGTATTACAGTCTGGTTCAACTTCTCCCTCACCCTTGCCATTCCTTCATGGTTCTTTGCCAGCCCAGACTTCCCCACAGCCACAATCTCAGCCTCAGACTGAGGTCTCTGAAAAAGATCAAGAGCTGGAAAATGCTCCACCATCCAGTGAAAACAGCAATGTGGAAAACATTCCTCGTCCTCTCAGTCCTACTAAGCTCACACCTATTGTGCATTCACCCCTACGATATCAAAGTGACGCTGACCTTGAAGCTCTGAGAAGAAAATTGGCCAATGCTCCTAGGCCATTAAAGAAACGTAGTTCTATCACTGAACCAGAAGGCCCAAGTGGACCAAATATACAAAAATTACTATATCAGCGCTTTAATACTCTTGCTGGAGGAATAGAAAGTGCTCCTTTTTATCAGCCGAGCAACCCACAGGACTTCATCGGCATCTTAGCTGATGTTGATAATGGTAATGCTAGTACCAATGGCAATATTGAAGAACCTATTTCCGTGCAGCCTACAGTTCCTCTTCCTGATGAGCCACCCCCTTCGTCAGATGCCAATGATAATGAATTACCTTCTCCTGCCACAGAGGAACTGATAAGCACTGAAACCACAAATCAAACAACTGAGACGACTGAAGATAACAACAACAATCCTGCTATAGTTCCCTCTACTGAACAGTCATCCAGTCCCACACCTGAGGTCAGTTCTCCAGTAGAAGATGAAGCTCCTTTGCCACCTGCTCTTCCTCCCCCACTTCCTCCAGTAAGTAACAAAGCAAAAAGACAATTCTGTGAACTATAGAATTAGCTGTGTGTTTAAATATAACTGGAAGATGGTAATCTTATGCTAAATAGTACGTCTGTGCTTTAAGTTTCATGTTACTAAAACAGAAGAAAACAAACCCAGAGGGCTCCAAGAAGGATTCTAATGGATTAGCATCTTTACTAATCTTGCTGTTTAACAGAGGCAACACAAGGTTGTGTACGTACTTTAGGCTGTAGAACTTTTGGGGGATACCTTCTTGTTGAACTAATTCTGGGATCTGAGGTTCCATTAAAAATATTCTTTTTTCATTTCCCCAGGCCTAAAAAGATAACTTATGTGTATGAAACTAAGGGTAAGCAATGGTAGTGGGAAGCTTTTTAATTTGCAAACAAGCTGAAATAAGCATTTTGGGAGAAGTGCACTCCTTTTTCCCTCTCAGCAGAGAGATGCAAGGCCAGGGCTGACAACACTAACAGCAACACAGCTGACTTGTTTCAGCAGAAATGTTTTTCTAATGGGCTTGTCGCATAATTTGAATTGCTTTCAAAGTTCCTCCTCCAGCTGCACCAAAATCTTTTAAATACTTGTCATTACCAAAATCTACAGCATATGGAGAACTGAAAATAGGGAGAAAACTGAATTTTATTCTTAGTTGTTGTTGGTATGACTCACTTTAACATTGGTTTCAAAGAATATCTCCACTTCTTGGTAAATGGAGGGACCTTGCATTGCTCTTACAGTTTGACTGCAGTGTGCACAGGGCCTTCTACGCATTTTCTATGAGCATGAGTGGGCCAGGATGCTTCTGGGAGAATGGAATATGCTAGCAGCAGATACTAGTCATACTGTGAGAGGTTTATTTTCCAAACTGAAATAGCCATGCTAAATAGGAGCATAAATGAAAATGGATCTTACAGTGCTAGAGACTAAAAGCATTCTATAAAAGCTGTAATTAATAATAGGGTTGGGTTTTTTTTTCTGGCAAGTGACAAGGACACGTGGATGATTCAGAATATGTTCAAAACATGCTTAAATGTGTTTCAGATCTTGAGAATGCTTCTTCTGGTAACACAAGCTAGAATGTCACATAAAATAGCTTCTGTACTGTTCTTTCCCACAGCAAAACTCATCACTTGTCAGTACTGACCTACAGCAGATACTCCTGCTAATTCAAGGCAAAGATTCCTCTGAGCAGAGACTGATATTCAGGCTTAATTGTGTTGTGCTTTCTAGTCTAAGCACAAGTTTTGGCAGTGTCTCAGACAATCCACCAGAAACACATTCAGCTCATATTAGATTGTGCTGCTCAGAAACCATTGGTTTAAGTACTTCTTTGTACTCACTATTTTTAATTAGAAGCCTCTAGATTATATTGGCATGCTTTTTCTTTTAACTGAATAAGCTGTAGTAAGGTATCAAGCCTTTTATTTAGAGACTTTATAGTAGAAATGTTTGCCTAGTACTAATTACCTTTTAAAGAGGATGGGATTCTTAACCTAGTTAAAAAGTAACTGAATCATGTGTAATACTTAATCAACCTGACATGATGCCTTCTGACCTTCATCTCTACTCAGACAAAACGTACTAACTTGAAGAAACCTAACTCAGAAAGAACAGGCCATGGTTTGAGAGTGAAGTTCAATCCATTGGCCCTCCTCCTAGATGCTTCTTTGGAGGGAGAATTTGATCTCGTACAACGAATCATCTATGAGGTGAGCTTCTAAAAAATGGCAACTTTTTAAAATACTTTTTTGGAGGGGAAAAGTATTGCTGAACTGTTTTATGTTTTCAATAGGTTGATGATCCCAGTAAACCAAATGATGAAGGAATTACACCTTTGCATAATGCAGTGTGTGCTGGCCATCACCACATTGTGAAGTTCCTCCTTGATTTTGGTGTAAATGTAAATGCAGCAGACAGTGATGGGTGGTAAGTGTCAAGATTTCTTACTTGGCATCTGGGAGAAACACCATTTTGATGCACATGCAGAATTTAGTCAAGACCTGTTGGGGGAGCAATTTCTTTCTCCTTTACCCCCAGCAAGAGCACTTTCTGACCTCTCAGCAGTGATGAACTCAAATGCAAGGTTACGCTGTGCTCAACTCGTGTAAGCACACTTAAATCATAGAGTACACTATATCTTGGATTTATTTGGTGGTATAGTTGCATTTCTTGTTCACATGCTGAAATAACTGAACTGTAAATAACAACTGACAAAAGTTAATTTGTCTTAAGTTTCATCTTCATATAACCCACCACAGATTTTGGTGTGCTTGAAGAATCTAGCCTTAGAGGTAGATGTAGCACTTTGGAAGAGTTTGGAGGGGATGTGAAACCTTGCTGTGCTGCTCTGTTTCGCCCTCCCCTTATCTTACCTTTCAAATTTCCTCGTATTAAAAAATACCCTTTTATACCCAGAAGCTTTGTAAGCTCTGAGAATCAGTATTGTTGACAACATCTATTTTATAATGTTTGGCTTTACTGGAGTCAAGCAAATCCTGGGATCCACTCTAGTTGCCTGACAGGTTTTGGACAATGCATACATATACTATAATCATCAAGAGCAATTTCCTTTAAAAATAGACCAACTAAATCTGTATTGCAAGGTAAAATAGTTAGGAATCCTGGAAGCTTATTTTTTCACATCTACATTTTTGCTTTACTTCAGGACACCCTTGCATTGTGCTGCTTCGTGCAATAGTGTTCATCTCTGTAAACTACTGGTTGAATCTGGGGCAGCTATTTTTGCTTCAACTATAAGTGATATAGAAACTGCTGCAGACAAGTGTGAAGAGATGGAAGAAGGTTATATTCAGTGTTCCCAGTTCTTGTACGGTAAGTTGTGATGCCACTTTACAAACTTCTTTAGCTTTTATAAAATTCATCCCTTTCTGTCTCTGATTTCTGTGAAACATCTGCATAGGCCCCAGACTTGATGCTGCTACCCACTACCTGTTCGTTCAAAATGCTAAACACAAAATACTCTTTTGGTTATGATGTTGCTTGTAGTCCTTCTGTTCTTTGAGTTGCTTCACAGGCCCCCTCTAATGTTACAGATTTTTAAAGTTTAACTTGGCTTAATTTCAAGGAAATGCTTCCATGGGGAAGTTTTGACAGCGAACAGTGAGTTGTCAAATATCTTGACAGAGATACTCCAACTTCCAGATGCACAAATTTCTAGCAGCTCACATGAAGAAACATGTATACTTTATGAATAATTAACTTACAAAATGTATTCAATTATTCAGATATATTTTGCAAGAAAAGCACCTTGATGGAACAGGTGAATTTTAAATTTACATCAGAGGGTATAAGCTTCATTAAGGCGCTCTATACCTGATGTCATGCAGATTTTCAAAACCTTCCAAGTGTTACTGTGTAAGGTCTGTTGTAGAAAGCAGGCCTGTGAGAAATAGGCAGCAGTTCTATAAAGCTTCTTTGCTCAAACATTTGTAAAACTATTTTTATCCTCATTTGAATAAAAGATTGTAAAGTTTCTATTGCATCTATAAAAAAAGAGAAAAACCTCGTGCACTAAATTGGTTTAAAATATTCTGTAAAGCTTTTTATCATGCAGTTAAATTTCTGAAAGCATTTAATCATGGAAGTGATGAAGATTGTTAATGATATTGTATTAATAAGAGACTAATATTGGGCCACAGGGTCCACACTAAAAATCTCGGAGGGAAAAATCGGTCTTTTACCATCTATTGTGTTCTCCCATTTGTTGTTAACAGGCGTGCAAGAGAAGTTGGGAGTGATGAATAAAGGAGTGGTGTACGCTCTGTGGGACTACGAAGCCCAGAATAACGACGAGCTGTCATTCCATGAGGGCGACGCCATTACTATTCTAAGACGCAAGGATGACAATGAAACAGAGTGGTGGTGGGCCCGCCTCAACGATAAAGAAGGCTATGTGCCTAAAAATCTCCTTGGGGTAAGTTCTTTTTAAGTTACCTTCTGTTTTCTATTTTTTACTTCTCCTGAAGTAGGAGCACAAGATGGATCTTTGGTCAGAATCCCTCATCTGGATACACTGCTATGAAGTGCTGCAAAGCAGGTTATCCTTACTCTCTCCAGCCTCTGTGTCATCGTAAACAAAAAGGAGAGACTATGATTAGGAGATTAGGGCTGGTTTTTATTTGGCAAGTTAGTATGTTTCATGTATTCTATGCTTTAATAAGACTTTTTTTTTTTTTTTTTTTTTTTCCTCCCCTTGGCTAAAATATAGGGCCCCTACCTAAAGTGTGGTCACTCTGTTAGGCAGCTCTAAGCTTTGGCCCAGGAAGTTCTTTCGGAAGGTTTTTAATACCTGGCCCAAGATAAGCAATATCTAGCTATGTACAAATTTAAAACGGGAAAGAGCCTTGAAGACGACAGCTTTGGGCAAGTCATTTATGCTGCTCTCAGTCTAATGGAACACTGCTGTCATGAGACACCAGGCGGGTAAGGCTGTGAAGTAGAAAGATACAGAGGGCACAGTGTGTGAGAAAAGCTCATAGAGCAGGAAATAAGCTCTCACTAGGGCTCGACGGGGAATTCTTGTACTTGCATAACAGCATCCTTTGGTCTAGTCTGGGACCTTGAGCTAAATGAACCAAGTCATTTTCAGAGCAGTAATTTTGCTGCTTTTGGCAGGAAAAAGTCAGCCCTTGGCTTCCTGCTGCTTCTGGTTTAATTTTTCAGAAGGTACCCAAGAACATGCTGTAGCTTACAAAAACCTCACCCCTCAAAACACTTCATCACCCGGTTCTTGTGAAGAAGTACCCCTCAGTTAAAATTGAATTGATTTATATTTAACTTGCTATCAATCAGCCATGCAAAGCCTAATATTTTTATTCTGTTTTTACAGTTATATCCACGAATAAAACCTAGACAGCGAACCCTTGCTTGAATTCAGTAGCACAACAGTGCAATACCATGCTGGTAACTGGAAACTTAAAACATACACTGGAGCCATCACTTTTGATCATTTCACACAGAGGAAAAAAAACCAAACTATGCTATTTAGTTTTAATGGTGCTTTCTCTTGTTAAATGGACAGCATCCAAGGTTTTCAAGATCTGCAGTTTGTAAATGAGGATTGTTTTTATGTGACCCGCCACTGACGAGGAGAGCGATACCTCCACTACCTACAGTGTTGCGCCAACTATCGTCTAAAGCAGTGTTTTAAGCTAAAGTTCCGTGGTAGGAGCTTTCTTGTGTTAAATGTTCAGAGGTGTCATTTGCAGAGTGCAGATACGCTGTCCAGTTTGCTCCAACCCCACAGTAACTGTCCCACATCAGAATTTTGGATATTTTGTTTGATACCAGTGAATGTTGAGTTCTCATTACTGATCAACTCTTTGGGTTCTAGGACACAAGATCTTCACCCATTATGTGCATAATTAAGTAGTCACCAAAGCTTTATGAAGGCTAGGATTTTAAGTGGCAAGATGCTATACACTTAAATCCAAGTCTAAACAACCCCAACGAAAGCTTTACATAGTCTAGCATCTAGTATTATTTGCGTTTAGAATCAACCTAGAGAACTAACAAAACAACAGTATTTGTACACTTCTCAAAACCCCTCTACGGTATTTCACTTGATGGGTTTTTTCTCTTATTATTCAGCCTACAGCACCAGTGTTACCTCTACTAATGTAAAGGTTCCCCTACTAAACCACCTGAGCTTGTCCATCCTGGACAAAACAATTAGTACCAAACTTGCAGCAGCTTAAGGGATTTGTATGTCTGCATGGATGAAAGTGCAATAGTTGAAAAGGGTGAGAGTCCGGTGAGGGTTATACTGTGTAATTTAAAGTCTGCCTGAGTCAGTCTAGAAGAAAATATGAAGGACTGGATAGAAGTAGAAGGAGGGTAGGGTAGATGCTAAGTCAAGGAGAAGAAAGAAACAAGGCTTAGGAAGGATTTAAGAAAGGCAATAGCTTATTTGAGGACAGTTTCTGTGGTTCTTGGCAGCCTACATCTGTTGCCAAGGCAAGTTATGCAATAACCTATTCCACTACATTGTAGTTTCAAGGAGGAAAAAAAAAAGCACTTCACTGGAATTTTAATTGTACATGATTTTATATACCAAAAGTATATTTTGATCTTCCCATTATAAGTTTTAGCCATATTTCTTGTAATTTTCTCCCATTTAACAGTATGCAATTTGATTAATTCTTCATGTACAAGTTCTGTGTATAATTTATATATCCATTTCTGCAGTGCTGTAACTTGCTTTTACCACAGGTTAGCATTAACTGTATATATTGTGGTGAAAAGTGAAAGGGTATTATTGTTGAAGAATTTGCTACATGAATGTGATGATTTCAAGAGCCTATGATACACTAATTCAGAGAACATGTAAATGTGCACAATAAAGTACTGCTAAGGCATGCCTGCACTCTCCAGTATTTTTATAAAGGTAGCTGCAGTAGACATGCCTTTGGTTGTAGCCTACAAAAAAAAATTAATCCTAGCGTGCCATGCTCTAGCTGTTAACTCAAGTTTCCTCATTGTTTTACCAGCTGCACAGAAAGTGACTTGCCAAACAATTTTGGCACCTCCTTATGCTAGTACTCCAGTATTCCAACAACTGCAACAAATTAATACTTGTCTGCAAAAGCTCTCAAGGGTCCTCTACACACAAGCTGACAACCAAGCCTTGTGGGCCTGTTTACTCCATTTGTACCAGCGTAGGAGGTGGGAGGGCAGAAAGGCACTTGGCTCAGCACCCGCAGCCAAAGGACTCATCCTGACTGTTGAACCAATTATCAACACTTAGAACTAGAAAGTCAACATTTCAGAGAGTAGAGACCACCCTATCCATTACTGAAGAAGTTATATGCTGTGAAATTAAGTATCACCTCTTTTTTTTTAAATAAGTGAATTAATTTATTCATATTTGTACATTAAATTGTATACAATTTCAGATAGCGTTACAGTTAATCTTAACAAAAGCTAGTTACCAAAAGGAAAATACAAAACTAAAAATTATTCTGGAAGCTCATTTATTACAGAAGGAAAGTTTCAAGATCACGTTCATATAAGTCCAATTTGGTGAAATATTTAGATGTTTAAAATGAAATGTTTAAAAAAATCAAGTGACTTCTATAAAATCATATCTAAGGCAGATTTTATTGTACATTGATTTTAAACATTTGGATAGAGGGAAAAAACCTGAGATCTATACCCAAAAGCTATTCTCTGCAGAAGAGACATACACATTTGTTTGCTTGTTGTAGCAAACAGTATATATAATTGTTACTATAAAAGTTGTGCTGTACATTAGCTGTAGTGCAGGTCACTTTCATATTAAGTGCCAATAAAGGCTTAACAAAATATACAAAGTCTTAAAAGGTGAGGCTGTTTAAAGCATTAATTGTATACATATTGCACACTATAGTGAATACTCATGGTTCAAAAAAACACTCACATTGCATTTGCCGGTTCTTACATCATGAACCACACTGGAATGAGAAAGGGTCAAGAACAGCAAATGTTACCAGCTGTCAAATGAGCAAGAAGTGAGAGGCAGGTCTGTGGAGGCTGGTGGTTTCCCTCAAGCAGCCAACAGCTTGCTTCCTCACTGGTCCCGGGACTCATAAAGAAGTTTCGTTGCCTAATGAGAAGACAAAATGCCATTGTCTTAACTGAAGTTTCACTTGCAGCCACCTAATCCAAAAATTTCCTTTAAACCCAAGGCTTTAAATTATTCTTCTGCTATTTTCCTTAGTCTAAGGCACCTTACAGCATTCAGTAATTTTTTGACTATTCAAAGTCGCTTTAAGTGCAGAACCTGAGGTCACTGAAGATTTTACATCAACTTACATTGGTTTCTTCTTGGTCAGAAATGACCACTTCTGAGCAAAAATGCCTCTGAAAAAGTTAGAAGCAGCATTTCTGAGATTTTGGTCATCTGTCTGAACAGATGCAGTGAGCAATGTTACTCTGTTCTACATTCCTCCTGCCTCTTCTGCTTCCCCAGCAGCGTTCTGGGGAGGCGTTCCATTTGTCTCAAACCAGGGTATCAACACCCCCTGCAATGGGAACAGGCATGTGTTCTCTAGCAATGAGTCCTTTTACCTGCTGTTAACTGGGACTCTGCAATTCTCACTGGGCTGATCAGTTACTCACAACTTCTGTCGAAGGAGACAAATCAGTGGGGGGAGGGTGTTAAGCTTTTCCATAAAATACCAGTTCTCACCCCACTTGTAGGAGTTGCATCACTTGTGAAAGAGGAATTAGAACAGGTATAAGGAACTGTTAAATTGTACTTGCATGGCAATACAAAGTTTGGGTGCACTGGGCTGAACACAAGTTAAATGCTGGGGTTGGGGGTGGGGCTGGGGAGCTTAAGAACAGTGAGAAATCTGCAAACAAAGAGCCACACACTTCTGTTTGCAGACAGCTTATAAATTCCAGTTCCAGTTATCAATCAGATGAACAAAGTTCCAGAACTAGTTCTGGAGTGGTTTGGGTCTTTGTCTCTGATAACTTTGACTTATGAAGTAATAAACTTCAGTTTCATTAGCCCATACAGTGCTTAACAACAAAAGATGAAACAGCCTTCCATGGGGTCCAGCCCCTACCCCTGTTCCCGTTTTCAAAAGTCAACAACTTCTTTAAACCTTCATCAAGTTGTAAAAACAATTAGCTGAGTTCAGGTTCAAAAGAGTGTTTCCTAACGCACATTCTTCAGTGAGTAACAAAAACCTGGCGAAGTTGAAAGTCTGATCCCTACTTCTTTTCACCGAACGACATACACAGGAACTTGGGAAAGCCTTGGCAGTGCGTGTCGTACCCGAACGTAAAGCTGCAGTCACGTTCGTAACAACTGTCCATAGCTTCTGTTTTCTTAAGCGACAAGGCCCTAAAATCCCTAAATAAAAAATAGTAAGAAGAAAAGCAGCCTCCCAAGGCCTCATACTCTCTTAAGTGCTACTAAGTGCCCCACGTTAAGATTTTCTTCAGCTTTCTATAGTTTTTGCCTCCTTTGCTTACCTTGTGCATAGCCGCCAGCCAGCTTGCTGACAGCTTCTTGTTACAGCTGAAGTCTTCACCGGCTGTAAACTTCATCTGCGTTAGTTCCTCTGATCCTGGTACCTTATACTGCAGAATCATGCCTATGGCACGAGTATTACCACCTGGAAAAATAAATAAGATCTTGAACAGCAACAGGTTTCACCGACTGAGTAACACAACTTCTTCTAGCCGATAAGCGTGCTTGAAGAAAGCTACCTCATCGCGTACGTCAAAGTGCTAGCAACTGCCGTGTCGGAGGCAGTGACCACAAGTGTTCATGCCGGGCAGTGCAGTGTGCAGGCTCCGTATTGCTTCATTCTCTCCAGTGATATCTGAGGCAGAACTTGCACAAAGCTGCTAGCTACGCGCACGAAGAACAGCCTCATGTTTTAATATTACCACGTGTTAAGTCGCTGCCATAGTTTCATACTGTAGCCTGCAGCCTGTAAACGGAATTACCAGTGCCCAGTTAGACTGGTATCAAAGAGGGGATCCTTGCTCGGTCCAAAGCCTGGCACAGCAGTCAAACATCCCTCTACACCTGGGAAAGGGTGGAGGGTAGGGATGCTTATGCAAGGCTAGATGGCAACCTGCAACGTCATTTACTCTTGAGGGAAATCCACTCCAAAAGACATTGCTCTGACAGCAGCGTGACAGCAAGATGTTTGTATCTATCTCTTTTACTCTGGCTGCATAGAGATTAAAATAATCCAAAAGAAAAATACAGAAATGAAACAAAAGCTTTGTTTAGAAGAGCAGCACTGATGCTTTACATCATAGACTTTATTGGCGTTGCTCATTTCCTGAAGTAGTAGAGCATGAACTAAGCCCCAGGAACAGCTCCTCCAGACAGAGGAGGCCACTTTTTGCACGAGAGGGCTCCCGGAGGCGGTTACTGTAATATCCAAGAAGGCAAAGACAGGCAATCTCGGTGGAAGCAGCCTGATCAAAAGCCCACCTTCTAGAAGTAACTATTATCTCCTCTTCTAGGATAAATCGATATCCAACTTCTTCATCATTCACTCCCCTGCATCTACCCGGCCAGACTAACAGATTAAGGCCCTAGTTAGAGATAAACCAGTGGAAATCAAACACCTACAGCCCTGACCAGTTTTATTTATTCACACTGCCCATGCCTGGCATTCCAGGACATTACTGACTCAGGCAGAACACACCTGAAGCAAGGTGACAAGGTATTTATTTTAAAGAAGTATAAAAACAAGCCATTAATTAACAGTTTATTCAGTGCAAAATCTCACTGGCCAGCACGCCAGAAGTGTGTCATTCGTGTCTGGTGTACACAAGTCAGCACTGCTCTCCTGAAGATACATACTGTTTCTCATCTTCCCTCCCCTCTCCTAGCAAGGCAGCCTCAAATGTTTTAGTTCTCCTCTGAAAAGTTACAAAACATTCATTCTCAGTTTATTAAACGGACAGATGGGAAGGAACAGATACATGTCAGATTTTAACATAACCTGCTTAAAGTTAAACAGCTATAGATCAAGCAGAAAACCAGCACTGCAGAGGAAGAAAGGTGGGAGGGGGGGTCATGACAACATGCTTAGGTGCGTCATGCTCAAAGGTACTGGTGATACCTTCAGTAATGTGCTGGCTCTCCAGAAGGCTGGTGTAAGTGTGAATGTCTTTCTCTACCATCAAGGCGGCAGGCAGGCAGACAAAAAGATAGAGCAATCAGAAGAGTAGCGAACAAGGAATTATAGAAGCATTAATTAACTCAGCAACGCATCTGGTTGATTTGAATACCAAGATAAGTTTAGTAAAGCTAACATGCTGTACTGAACGTTGCACAGATAAGCTGTCCGATGAGAAAATTCCAGCAGTGACAGAGGTGTTGCTAAAGAATGACTATTAAAATTCCTGACCTTGTTTGTTCTCATTTCAGTGAAATCATATTCAAGTTCATCCTGAAATACTCTAAAATCTGGTAAGAGATGAGGCAGTAAGTAGCTGCCCTCTGATTCAGATGTTACCAGTTTCATTTGGCCACCCCTTCATCTTGAAGGAAATTAAGAAAGCATAGTTTAATTATTTAATCCCCCCACACTGTTTCACTCCCCTCACAATTGTTTGTACCAGTAAAAGAGAAATCCCAGCTGGATTCTGAAACACAAGCTGCCAAAGACTTAACAGTTCCTTCCTATGAGCTTTTGAATCAATAGATGTTTATATTTAGCCGAGAAAGGATCAGAACAGATGATGCCCACCTTTATTCAGCTTTATTGAGCAGCTCTCCCATATCAGAGCTCTAAGGTAATTTGTCAATCCTTAGGTTTTCCCCAAATCCCAGTAGCCACACAGACAGGGTTTCACATGCCGCACTCGATTCTGAGAGCAGCTGTAGCTAACACAGTTACACCTGAGTTACCAATAACCTAGAAATGCACTGTCTACCTCAAAGAATAGTTACAGCTTCATGCTTCTTTTTTTCTTAATACTTAATTTGTATTCAATGAAAAAATTTACCTCCAGGAGTAAATCCCTCTGTAAGTATCTGAACAGTTGAAATCTGTATAATTTCAATTTCATAGTGGCTGTCTCCATCCAGAACCAGATATCTACATAATAGAACAAAAAGGTTTTTTTAAAAAAAAACCTGTTTTTTCTACAATGTTCATTCCAAATCAAAGGAAAAAATAAACACAGTCTCTCAGTGACTGTTTAAATATTCTTTGCAGTGGGGAGGGAGAGAAATCAAGAAGGAAAAATTACTTTTCACTGAAGTTCTTCACTTAAAGGAAAAAAAAAACCAACACAAACCCTACAGTTTGCCAGCAGACCCTTTCGAAATATTAAAAGCATTTTTCCAAAGTTCTGGGGAAAAAAAGAGAACTCAGAGTCTAAAGTGTTCTGGCCAACGAAATTATGCCCCCCCCCCTCCTGCAATCCCCCTGTAAGCTGGCAAAAGCCCGGCATTCCAGTGGTGCTGAGAGGCATTACCAGTGCTGATCCACACTGCTAGTAAATTCAAACCAACTTACTCCAATAAAGTTGTACCTATCCTTTCAGTGCAATTACGCTCTCCAATATCCTCACAGCATGTTGTTCTCATATTTTGTTTAGGTTATTAGATAATAATATAGCTGTAAGAGCAACAAGTGCAATTTCTATCAATCTTTCTCACCTCTGATTGTTGGAAAGTCGACAAACCATGAGCTCAGATTTATCAGATGTTCCCAGAGTTACAAAGAATGTAGCACCTGGAAAGAAATGCAGAGTTTAGGAAGGAACATTCAAATACCAAAAAGAATAACTAATTTTTACTTACTGCATCTAATACCCTGAATTGGGTGAATTAAGAGACTAATTGAAATATTAAACTGATTAACATCAGTGGAACACTCAAGTATAAAAGGCTGATCTTTAATGATCATGTTCTGAATCACAGGACCTTTCACAATTGCTATGTAACTTCTCCCATATGTTGTAGAAATACTGATGATATCTAAAGGGAACCTTTTAAAAAAGAGAACAGATTTGGAGATGGCAAAAATGGGCAATTAAAGACCCTCTCTTGTCACCATAATACACACTATTGTTTCAGTATTCAAAAAAAAAAAAACAAAACCAAACCTGTCAGAAGAATCTAACAGCAGGATGTGACCTTCAGCTCTACGATTAATAAATAGCAAAGACACCTCTTTTTCATTACTGAAGGCTAGCTCAGTCTTACTTTGAGGTCAATGAACTTCAGCCTTCATGTTACGTTTCTTCCTGCTCAAAACAGCTCCTTTGACATCAGGAAAGTCATCCTAGCTACATTAGTGAAGTGATTCATAACTTAAGAAAGCAGACTACACACCTAACCACTTCATGTCCTCCACGCCTCACGCTCCCTGTATTACCTAATCCCAATACTGTTGGTTTGGGAAATGAAAAAAAATAACAACATACACTCCTGCCTTGCAATCCATCTCCATAATCAGAACCATGCAGTCTCAGAGAGCTTCACCTCGCTGCCTATTTCACAATTTTACACAATCTCACCAACCCCTCAGCATGGACCCCCAGGCTGCTGCTGAAGCAAGACAAGAGAGGCAACAGCGGCAAAACCGCAGTGGACATCACAGCCACCATCTCTCTGACCGAGACCTGTGGCTCTACGGTAAGTCAGGAACAGCTTCAGGCTTGAATTGCCTAACACGAATGCAAGCAGGACAAGCTTTTTAAAAAAAAAAAATACTTAGTTTAAAAGACATTATTTAAAACCTCATCTGTAGAGCAGAGTGAGGAATGATTTGTGTGTTACAGGGATGAGCATACTCCTTTCTGAACCTAGAATCTCCCTAGGAACATTCACGCTAATCAGACGTGGGGTTTAGCTTACTGATTATACGCGCTGGCGTCGTGCTGAGAGCCCATCAAAAGGGCTCTCAATCACAGAGTATTTTCTGTGAACAGTAACAATCACAGAATATTTTAAAAACTGAAGATTCAGCTTTCTTAATGTAATTGGAACACGAATTACTGTATTGCATGTAGCTGTAATGCTATGTAAAATTGCCCACTCACAATGATCTGCCATCAACCACAGCTGTAGGCCATAGACAAGATCAAAGCTCACAGATGAAGCCTGAAACAAGCACTCTATCGTGTTAGAAAACGTTAAAATATTCTCTATTGTTAAGTATTTTTCATCCTTATTTAATGTAATGGGAATCTGGTGAAAAGATGGATTACTTTAAGAAAAACGCCAACTGCACACAGATCTGTTCTCAGAGGTGTTAAAAATTCCTTTGTCTTTAATTAAACCACTCTTTATAAACATTGACTAGAAAGTGTAAACTTCTCTCTAACTAAACGGATAACACAGAATTATGAACTGGCAAACAAGAAGCATGGCAACAAAAAAATATTTAAAGGAGACAGAACAGCAGCTTGTTTGACAAGGGGCGTTGCTCTTGCCGTTTATCGCATTTGTTCAACACAGCATTTGCATAAACACAGATGAGATCAAGCCAGCATACATACGCATTCAGTCCTTACCGTTCATGAGCACTTTAAGCTGTTTGTCATAGAACTCTGTTTCTTTCTGCGAGACGAGGGCACATTCAGCACACTGGCGCACAGGGTCCACAAAGCACATGCGAGGCAGAGGCACTTTTTTACTGCAGCACTTGTCGCAGAAGCACTTCCCGCATCTTCGGCAGTGATGCTACGTGTGAGAGAACACTTTGTTTATTTATATACACAGGAAACTATTAGGGAACAATTTGATAAAGTTACTACGCTAAATATCGGCCTCCCCAAGAAACAGAACAGTTCCTCGGTGTGAAACATTCTAGTTGAGGGATAGGTAAAGGAAATTGCAGAAAGGGATCTCTGAAGACTGAACACAAAGGACTGAGTATAGTACAACCAGCACTGTAAGCCTTTGTTAGTGCTCTGTAAACGCGCTTCTACAGCAGACCAGACAAAACCCTGAAAGGGCTCCTCCAGCATCCACTAAATCCTTCACCTTACTGTCAATAAAAACATGAGAGGAGTGGTTTCTAGGTCCCCTTCCCACTTCCAAGCAAAGATCTTGGGAAACTTCAACTGGAGATCATATTCTTCTCCCTTAAAACTTATTCTCAAGTTTTTTCCCCATGGAAACTTAAAACCTAAAGCTATTTCTCTATCAGAAATATCAGGCAGCATAGTACAAATCCAATGAAGTAGCAAAATCAGAACTAGTACTGCAATGTGTTTCACAGCTACTGCATCTGCAGCCCGTGGCTTGTGCTCCAAATCACTGTTGGGGTGTGACGGTCCCAGCAGCTCTTCCTGATGCAAGTTCTCATGTCAGAACAAGTATTCCCAGGCAAGCAGGAACAGATCTGTGGCTCAAAGCAAGTTTGAACACTTTGATACAAGCGATACACTGCAGTTTTGCTCAGTGTTTGGCTTTCCTTCCCACTATTACGCAAAATTCTCCAGAGTACCTATTTCCCAGGGCTACCTCCACTTACTTCCCAAAGCTAACACAAGTAAAACACAGCAGCCTTATGAATTAGCGCTTCTCAATCAAAATGCTCTAACCAACCCACAACCATGCTCTTAATCCATCCAACTAAAGAGTAAAATAAGAACTAGGAGAAAGTACATTCCATGATTTAGGAGTGCTAGGATCACTAACTGACATCCTAGTGCTCTTCAGGCCTCCTGAAAATTTACACCTGTCTGGTATAACGTAGTACTACGCCTGGTTTACAATTTCTCCTTCCCTCTCCCTCCAAGCAGTAAATTAAAAAAAGATTGACTATGTCAATGCACTGTAAGTCACACTTCTGCATCTTTCGTCACGTTCACAAGCATGTGCTGAGGGCGTGTCAATGCAGTTACACAGAAGGATGATATTCCCTGCTAAAAATCACTGTTGGCCTTTTTTGGGAGGCTGCTTTCCTTCTCCATGCAGGCACCCCAATATTAGCATAATATTTCCCGATAGTAGTACACCAGCAGGCATTCCACAGTGACCTGCTTACTTACGTGATGAACGTAATTTAACTCTAATATTAGTGTTTTCTCTTCGTACAGAGAGCCTACTTACAGCTCACAGCAATCAAGGCGGTTTACACTTTCTACTTATCCAAAATTCGCTTTTCCATATCTGACATAAATCCTGTTTTGCTTTCAGAACTGAAGGAGAACCTGAGTTTTGGTCCTCCACATTTTAACAATACGGTTCTTTAACGTAAGATTAAAATCTATTACTCCTGAAAACATTTTTGCTTACATTTCCACAACTAATATTATCTCCCAAAACACAACCAAATTAGTTGATTTGGTTTCTGCATCAGTACTGATGTTAGCAGCGCACTCCAGCTTGACTTCCTCTCACTCTTCCTTTGAATGTAAATCCTGTGGGTACCCAGTAATTTGGAAAAAACCCTAACTATGTATTACACATTAAGCAACAACAACAAAAAGAAAAATCGAAAGAAACAGAATTAAAACAAAAAGGGCCTCTACTCGGAAAAGGCAGAACAGAAAGAAAAACCACTTTAAGGTACATCAGACTTTGCACGCTATTCTACTGAAATCTTCTACATTTTAAATCAAAAGAAGTCCATATTATTATTTTGCAACAGTTAATGCTTTACATTTTATTGATTTCTCTTACCTTTCTAGTTATGAAGTCAAATTTTGTATCACACTGCATACATCTTGGGCACTAGAAAACAGTACAAATTAAGATTAATCTACAAGATTTCTAAACCTTCAATCCTACCATATACAAAACCTAAGCTTTATATTATGCCCTAAAAAGAAACACCTCCAACACATTTCCATCCTTTATCTTTTCACCATGGATGGTTTTCATTTATTTTAATATCAGCATAGCAAAATAATGTCATCCCCATGTGTAAGACAAAAAAAGCTGCCAAACTCATTCGCCCTAAGGAAGACTGCATCTTGCCAGCAGTCAAAACTATATTTCAGAAGTACTTATAATGCTTAATTATGTTTGGCTATCCAGACAGTCATATATTTCAGACTTAACTGTTTTTATATAAGTTGTCATCCTTGCTGTATTATACTGTGATGCTCTGTTGACTCTCTAAGACATTGTTTACATATTTCAATTCTCTCAATACTTACACATTCTTGAAACATGCTAGGAGATACTTGGTTTTCTTCCAAGCCACTAAGACTTAATTTTTACTCCAGTTACAAAATGTCACTTCCTGAAATATCTCTTTCCTAAAACAAGCTTACACCCACACTCCTCCCAAAAGAAAAGCCAGAAAAAAAAAATTAAGAAGTTTCTCTCCTCAACTAAGTAGGGTTTAAGGGGTGACAGTTTTCATTTTCAAAACTAGCAGAAGTGACCAGTGATTGTTATGATAATTAAAATTTTCTATACAGAAAGTCACCTACCAAAGGGCTGATTCTCCACACTCAGATCACTAGATTTTCACCAAGATTTTACGTATTTTTATCCACCATATCAAAAACCACTCTCCAATGGCTTATAATGCAATTTTTGTTAGATTTATTTGCAAATATTAATGCAAGAAAACCACTCTCCAATGGCTTTTTTGTTAGATTTATTTGCAAATATTAATGCAAAATTATGGCTGACAGCTGACTCAAGAGAACACAGTTAGATCCTGTAGTGAGTTTTATAACCCTAGAAACCTAAACTCTTCAAACTGGGCTATCTCAAACTACAGCAGAATGTCATCCCAAAAGCATGCCCTAAGCTGAGCAGGTGCTATGTGCTAATAAGCACACAGTAATCACCTTTGCCTTTAATTAACACATTTCAATACTTAACCCTTTATCTTCTATAAATTCCTTCAGGTTACAACAGCTTTTACCATCTATGTTGGGGACTTTTGCTTCAGCAGATACCCAACCACTGTCACATATTCAATAACTATAGCCAAGAAAGTATTACAGCAACTAAATTAAAAATTCTCTAGAAACTTTTCATGTTCTTTCGAAGTACAAGACCGTTAATAATTTGCAACAGTTTATTTGAAGTGTTCTGACCTCTAAAGTTTAGCAAATTAGAGAGCAACTGCAGTCACTGTAATGGAACATAAATAGCTACCTGCAGTATTTATTGCAATAGGCTATCTGTTTCTAAATCCCACACAGAAGAGGACTGCAAGTGTTCCTGTAGCATTTCAAATAGCTGAAACTGAACCAAGGCATCCAACCACCTCTGCTCGCAATGGCTGTAGAAAAGCTTATTCTAACATTCACTGGCGAATAACCTTCAGCATAAAGCAACTTTAGCATTCCCCAGGTTTCACCTCCGTAACAAGTAATACCCTACAGCTAACACCACATTTTACTCTACACTGATCTTGATTTAGTGTTTTCATTTTTAACACCTGTAGCTTAATAGCTTGTCTGGGAGCAGGACCTGGCAAGAATTTTTGTATACTTTGAATTTGCCAAGAGTCTAACTCATTTTCTTAACAAAAACATGTTTTGTTTGGGGTTTTTTTTGTCAGAAATTAGGAAGTGGAAGCCACAAACTAGGGGAAAAAACGCTCTTCTAAATACCGTCCTAAATAGATTTCATACACAGTGTTATGCTAAACATACAAGTTGCTTTTCAGGAAGGAACAAACCTATCCTGTCTCCCATATCTAATACAAACTCTATAGAAAAATATTTCTGAATTCCAAACCTATCACGGTAACACTGCCTGATACACAGAGCGGTCATAAACAAACCACAAGTCAAATGGCATAGGATAGCAGGCTTCACAGAATGCGATTTTCCTACAGAAGTGTTCTAACACTAGTAGGGTTGATAATACTGCTGATTCAGGGCACTTCTGCTTTAGGTAACCAAAATCAAGTGAACCCATTGGCAAATATCAATTTCTGCTTTGCCTGGGAAGAGATCGCTATTGAAAAAATACCTTGAAAGGTAAATCCTTCCTACTCATCCATATGCTGACATAATCGGAGAGTGCATGAGTACTGAATTAAGCTTTGTATCTTCAAGGGGGGGGGTTATCACATTTACAGAAGAAGCAAGCATGATGTTTAAGTTACTTTTTGTGTCTTCAAGACACAGGCTTTTCAAAACTACTGCAAATCTGACTTTTTGGGAAAGTGGAAACAAAAAGATATGAAATAAGAAATTAAATTAAAATGCACATTATAAGAATATTCATGTCACATACAATCAACATACCACTAATACAAATATCAGATTACTTTATATAGCAAGAGGAAAATGGAAGAACATCCAACAGTTGTCAGATCTTGCTATTAATTTAGAAATACTGAGAGCTTGTTCATTGCAAACAGAGTGGAACTTCACGTGCATTCGCTGAAGTCTGACAATGAATTTCCATACTACTTTGGACCCAGCCAGAGGTGAGAATCCTGCAGCTGGACAGGAAGCTATAGTTACACTTCACGTGCTTCGTTTGCATATCCAATAACACGGTGATTCAGGAAGTGACACAAGGTAACACCTGGTTAAGCTTGTTAACACAGTGAACTTTTGCAAACGTGAAAGTTCACAAGCTCATCGAATCACACCTTGGAACACCAAAAGAGCCGATTGCCAGAGTGGGAAACAGCACAATGCAAACAGTCGGCAGACGGGGTTTATGATGGTGCTTTCTGATATTACAACCGTACAGGGCCAATTCATTGCCCGAGCTACACGAGTTGGCCAGCAGTCCGAGTGTGGCTCTGTCACACAATTAGTGCCGACTCCGAGAGCCTGTGCCAACAGTGGACCCAGGTACATAAAGCTCGGTTCCGTCCGACAGTGATCCAGGAGCCCTAGGGAATGGCTGTCACCACGTCCGCACACTCCTCTCCAACATCCCAGCTCCGAGGCACACAGTGTTCCTCAGCCACATAAAGATCTGGGGCACAGCTGGATGTCAGGAGGTTTGGCCACCTCTGCATTCAAACATACAAGTTTTACTCAATTTCTAGTCCAAGATTTCCCTAATAGGAACATCCTCAGTTGAGCTCTGCTGGCGATTAACAAGGAAATTCTGGGTTAGACAAGGCATATGCAGTGACCAACATTTTAAGCTCTATCTCGAGTTTAATGATGCTTAGCATATTACACTTTCATAATAATATCCACCTCAACCCATTATGTATATTGTAAATAAGACTACCAAAAAGAAAGTTTTCTGTGGTCCTGCTCCAGTCTTACACTTCAAACTCCTCAAAATAACTGGTATTTTAAGACTGTACAATCTTGTGACATAAAATGAAAAAAATGAAATCTATTTCATGGTTGTATAAGTTCTACAAAACTACTCACTGCCATAATTTTTAAGTGGCTTTATTTTTAAAAAAATAAGCCAGTAGACTCTTCCTGCGTAAGAAAATAAAGCTACTGAATTTGTGAGTGCTACTGGCCCCACAGCAGAAGCCGACCTATTTGAAAAGTCAGATCAACATTTACTAATACCAGTCTCTTGTCTTGGACGCAGAACATGCTTTTTTAATTACGTCCAACATGCTAACAAGTGCAAGTGTTCTTGACAAACTTCTTAACTAGATAACACTGCCTCTTCGGATTTCATTTTATTAATAAAAACACAGGGTTTATAAGCTCCCCTGTATATCATGTACCTCCTTTATTTAAGGAAAAAGTTTGTGACCTATTTGGTAATCATTAACCAAAGGGATGTCGGAGCTTCAATACACTTCAAGCAATTTAGTAAAATAACTTTTTACAAAATAACAACAATGCAAGATTAAGAATATGAATTAACAAATGCATTTAAAACATTTGCCTGTAATACACTTCCTCTCAATAGCAAATACCACCGAGTCTGATGCAAAGGCAACATTCAGTCACAAATCAACACCATCAGCCTACTGACCAACAGACTACAGGGGAAAATCTGGATTTTATGGAGAATGAATACCTGCAGTACAACTGTAATGTAGAATTCAAACTAACAACACACATCAGACTGATGTATCTAACATATATGGACTTAATTCTTAAATATACCCAACTAGTTTAAATAAATCCTACCTCAAACATCCTCAAACAACCTTTAGTTGAATTAAGACGGTACTATGCATTAGACTGAGTTAGAAGTACCTTACTTTTTTAAATTAAGTTAGTCTGCTATAATCAAGGACTACTCAAATATAAAACTACATTTCAGAAGGTCAGGGAGCAAACTAATTTCAATTTAATGTTACACAAATTATATCCACTGACGATGACGTCAGGAATCGGGTTTCCAGGTGGTGCAGGTCAGCGCACACAGGGCACGGCAAGTCACGGACGCGGCAAAAGCAGACTCCACACAACGCATCAGGAAACCCCTTGCACAATAACTGCTCAGACTTTGCTACACGCACCCCGATAAATACACACCCCATCTGCAACACACCCGGGGCACCACACCACGCATGGTGCCAGCTGGGTGGGAGCCCCGAGCACCAATAACCTTCCATGGACGCTCAGCTCCGGTCACTGAAAGTATTGTCTTATCTACACTTCATATAAGACAGATACCCAGTTGCTACTGATGACAGGGAGCATTTTTTAAATTTCCCAAGTATGGAAAGAGAATAACTTGAGAAAACTCCCACAAAGACACTTTAGCAGGCCACTTGTTTAAAGTAAGTTGACAAAGTCACTTTTCAAAAAAGGGTTGCTATTTTGGACAAAACCAGCATCTGACTTACCAGTCGTGCACCTTACGACAGTAAAGGTTAGTCTGAGCTGCAAAAGCTGTGCTAGCAGGGTGAGTCTCCAGAATTACTACTTTTGTACAGAACTTTTGCCTCAGGAGATACCAGACAGGGGCAAAACATTCTTCCTCGTTCCTAACCAAGGAGAACAGTGCGTTCCCATACAAAACAGACGAACCATGTCAGCATTTGGCAAAGAACAGCTTTGTTTAATGACTCCCAGCTTAAATTCATATTGTCTCATCCAAAATAAACCTTAATGCCGGTCACATTTAAATGCATTGGCATGCATCCACACCACAGAACGCTGGCAATAAATAAACAAACAATTGATTCCAAGTTGTATTAGCATCTAGCTGTAGGGACTGGTAACAACTAACGCATATTGCATGAAATTGAATATAACATCATGGTCACAAAGTTTACCTGAAAAGTATTTAAACGCAAAGTTGACTGAAACGGTCTAAGTTATTCCACACTTGTTTAACACTACGCACATTCACGCCGGGAGCCAGCAGGGCTGCTCTAACTGAGCTTTACTGCCTCCACACTTCGCATCTTCGGTTTTTTAAATCTTCCGTATTACCTTTAGAATCATAGAATCGCTTTGGTTGGAAAAGACCTTTAAGATCATCGAGTCTAAGCATTTAAAGAGACAGCTCTACTAAACACCAACGCTGCACAACTCGTGAAGTTCCTCACTAATTTTGGCGACAGGGCCCCCACATCCCTGAAGAACGAGCGACGGCCCTTCCCTTCTCAGTCCATTAGTTCTACGCGAAATAAAAAAAAATCGTGGTTTACAGCTAACCGCGCCGCACCCGGGCGAGGCGGCCCCGCTGCCCGGTCAGCCC